AGTCAAATCTTGACTCTCGGGTCCCCAAAAAATACAATCCACATTTAACGGCAGTGGGCAGAGGGTTAAAAGTCAACAGCATTCGCCACCCAGTGGTCTGCGCATTTGCCTCCACCCGAAGACATGAACTCATGGTCCATCAAACACATCCAACACCTCCACCTTCAAGTCTCCCACTCTTCCTCTGCCTCTCATATCCACTTCTCGCCTTTTTCCGCTGTCTGTTATCTGTCCAAGCTGCGTTCGACTACAAAGATCCACCTTTCCACTGCCACTCCTTCCCTTGCCTTTGATTTTCTGTCCATCAAGGGGGCGTGGATTAGTGCTCTCTTGTTTATCTGCTCGTCTGTTTTATCTATCTATCAGCAAGCCCTCTGTTGGGTGGCAGCGGCCTCCGCTACGCATTAATCCCGTATCAGCCCGGCGCCTATCCATCAGCCTGGTGTCTATGATGTCAGATCCATCATCCGCCCATCTGTCTCCCACTGCCCACGTGAACCACTGGATGAAGGGATAGAGCGAGAAAAGTGCAGGACAGAGATGAAACAGAGGAGAATAGAGGATGCAAAAGGGGTGGAGATGGGTTCAGCTATGCCAGCGGGCTTTCTTTCACCCTCCCCCATCTGCCCGAGCACGTACAGCGAGCTTTGCATGTCCCGACATGCTTATTACCTCCTAGGTTTGTTCCACTGTAATTTGTTTGTTTGTTTGTTTTTCCTTTCCTTGCTTGTTAATTCTAGCCAATGGGAAAGGCGCCAGCGCAGGGAAAAGCTCAGGATGGGTCATAAATCCCATCAAGCCCTGATGCAGGTGGAATCTGCCTCCGCTTCCCCTCCTCCACCCCCTTCCCCGCCAGCGAGGGATTCAGCACAAAAGCTTACTGCCCTGAAAAAGGCTCGATATCTGGGTGCACAAGGGTCAGGTTGATTGCTATTTATACACAAGGACATTTAAGTGCAGAGGAAGAAGAATCTAAGAACACATGCTGGGTGGGTCTATGCACCGCTGCATTGATGTTGCACAATGCAGCACAGGTGCAAAGACGGGCACTGGCACCTTCACGTGCAGGTGTGCACGTGGCCGAAAGGAAAGGTGACTGCGAGAGGATTGGGTTAGGAGTGTGAGAATAAATCGGAAAGAACCGACAGGCCCCCACACTGCTGACCTTGTCGTATGGCCTGCACATCACTTGGGGACCCGACGGCAGCTTTAATCCAGAATTCCATACACAGTGGCCCCGGCTCTCGCTGTGTTCTAAGCAGGGAAAAGAAAAAACAAGCATCTCCAAACAAATGTGTCTCTTCCACAAATGAATGAGAGCAGACAGCTGTCAGGAGCAATCCATATCCATCCTCAGTTAAGCAAAGCTAATTAGTTCCACAACTGGGTTTCCTGTCCCACTCAGAGACGTGGCATTCTGACAGAGCTCCCTATACGGGACGTGGGATCAGTGACTCATGTGTCAGCCCATTTTACGGCAAAATTTCTTTGCATGAGTGACTGCGTGTGAGAAATCATGCCTTTTGACTTGTGCCCGAGCGTATGCGTGTGTGTGTTTGCAATTTAGTGGAGGGTGATTATACAAGTATGAAGGTGCCTCGTTCTAAATTGGTTGCCTCTAAAATAGAAAAGATTGCAGTGTTTAACAGATGCAATCACCAATCAAGGCTGGCACAAACACACACCTACACACTCATTTACATGCGCACACCCACCTACACACGAGAACACAACATCACGCTCGAAGAATCAATCCCTTCTCAGACAAATAACAGAATAAAGAGTGTGGATACCCCGATCGATATTGTACCTTCAAAGCATTAGAGTTCATCACCATGTCGAGCTCTGCATAGCTGCATGACCCTCTGTTTAAGCTGAAACTACATTAATTCAGTCGATCAATATAAGCAATCTTTGGAAGAAATCAAGCCAGTGCGAAAACAAGAATCCATGGGAAAAGAAGGATGACTAATTTTATAAAAAAATTCAGAGGTACTTAAATGCCAAGTGTTTTATTTGCACCTGGTTGCCAGCCGAGACCATGACTGGGCAGAAAGAATGATTAAGACATTGTAAAGCCACTGAAAAGTGTATATATTAGTTCTAATAGGAAGACCATGTCATTCATTCATTTGCTTGCATTCAATCAGAATTTAAAGGTCTTCTAACAACTTCCATTCATTGCATCATTTGCCAGCGCCCCCTATCAACCCACCACCACCAGTTTGATGGGAAAAAAAAATGTAATTATAAATATATTTCATAAATGTAATTTAAAAATAATTATATTAAATTATATTAAAATACTATAAATTAAATAATTATTGTAAAATATAATTTAATACCTCAAAACATATATACAGTGGGTACGGAAAGTATTCAGACCCCCTTAAATAAAGCAAATAATTAGAAAATTAGCACTGAAAAAGCATTAAAATAACATATACAGACATCCTTTAGCTAGGAGACAACATTCATATGCACAATAACACACTATCCGTGGCTCCTATATTGGGCCGTACAAATCTCATCTCTGCCAGGTCATTAAATACAGTGGTTTGCACTGGTTATAATGAGGTCAACAGCATCTATAATGTCTAATAGCACAACAGCCAGGAGTTAGAGAGCTGATACAGTGTTGACATTGGATTGCGACAGCATGTAAACTGCATGAATATTAGTCCTGTGCATGGACTGGAGGGCACTGTTATGGTCATGTGTATTTTGCGTAGGTCAGCAGGTACTTTGCTCAAGGGCAGCACTGCGCATTGATTGGACAGTGCACTCATTATGGGATGTGCTGCCATCAAGACATGCTAGCTTGGTCTGTTTAGAATGTTTGGTGCTATTGTACTATGAACACCAAAGAAGGAAGAGCATCAGTGGGAATCTATAGAAATGGTGGTATGGTTCAAACAGTATCCATTCTTCTGTTGCATTGCTAAGGAACTGTTTCTTTACAAAGCTGTGACATGACACAGATGGCATTAAAGAAATAGCTCACCCAAACAATGAAAAATTGCTTACAATTTTTTCACCCTCAGGCCATCCAAGATCATCTGTTTGGACTCTCATTCTGACGGCACCCATTCACTCCAGAGGATCCATTGGTGAGCAAGTGATGTAATGCTCAATTTCTCCAAATTTGATCCAATGAAGAAACAAACTCATCTACATCTTGGATGGCCTAAGATTGAGTACATTTTCAGCAAGTTTGCTTGAAAATAGTTACATATTGCTGGAGAAATTGAATGGTCCTTTTAGAGTAAACATCTTTAATCATTCATCCCAAAAAAAAAAAAAAAAGTGTGCGGTTATTAATAATACACCACCTTGTTTGTTCCAAATCTGCTTGTGTTAAAAGCAATGCTAGCATCATAGGTTGCAACTCACAGTGAATCACATAATCTGCTGCCATTAGCTGCCCAGCTGTTTCAACCATTGCATGTGCATTTCCACTGTCACTCGACTGTGCACTGAACATTTTTTGCTCTATTTATGATGAATATACAGTACTAGACAGATGCGACAGAAGTGCAGGCACATTTGTTTTGTTGTAAAGTGATGTGCACTAGTGGGGATGTTACAGAGTTTTCAATCATATTCGGTTCAGTGTTGTGTTCAGCTTAGGTGCTCTTAGAAGTCCCTTACCGGCACTGAAATACTATAGTAACTAGGCATGGGCCGATTACCGGTTTCAAGGTATACCGCGATTTGAAAATTTCACGGTTTCAAAACCGTTAATATTTTCCGTTATACCGTTCCTGCGGTATGCGCTGTTTTTCATGTCTCCTAAGAAACACAAAGAAAAATACTGTAGCAGCCTAGCAGGCAGCTCACTCACTGTTCATGATGCACAAACTATTGGAAGAATATCCTAAATATTGATTTGGGGGTTTATATGAATGTGTTTCTGAGGGGAACTGACTCATTATATTCTGCAGTTCTTCCCTGTTGTACCGAATATCTATACTTTTCAAATTATCATATCAAAGTTAGAAATTCAAATATTGTGACAAAATTAATTTTGTAGGGTGCCACAAGTTTGTTAAAATGTCCAAAGGGTGCCGCGACTAAAAAAAGGTTGGGAAACACTGGTTTAAACGACTAAATAATGAAAGTTGTGATTACTTGTGGCTATTATGGTTTTACTTCAAATACCACCATTAAACGGTGGCTGGTACAGTACATTTCTGTGTCAGGCTGTAATTTTAGAGCAACAATTAAAATAAAATATATCATACCAATATTTTTTGTTTACAAGAAATGCGAAACTGAAGTTTACATTTAGTGATGTAAAACTACATGAGACTGAAAATCCAAATGCATCATTTTTGATATTCAATAATCAATTATAATTACACTAATGACCAACAATGATGAGTATCTACAATTGAGGGGAAAATGGCACACTTTAAAAGAAGAAAGCTCTTGTAGAGATGACTATGGCTGTGTCATTATTCATATTTGTATGTGTCCATTTGAGCAAAGTAAGTCAAAAAAGTATTTTCTTGCCTAATTTCTGGTATATTATGTTTATATTCTGGAAAATTTTGAGTTACTTAGTTATTCTGTTTATATCTACAGCTTCACTCATAAGCCAAACCTTGTTTTCCCTAGATGCATCTCTCTGACTTCAGTATGCTCACGCCTATTAAAGTCTGATTCTGTCTGTGCTGTTGTGAATTAAGAATGTTCAATAAAGACTTTGAATCATCTTTGTGCCGTCAAACTGTGAGTTATGACTGACGGTCCTAGGGGGCTGTTCACTCAGGACACGTTCTTGCGTTCCATATGTGCTATTTTTCAATCGTGTTTGTAAACAAGCACCAGATAGATATCTCACTGTATTTTCAGCATCTTGCAACATTAATGTCATAACTATGTCAAGTTAAAAAATAGAGTGAATGTCAGTAATAAAACAATGAACCCATCATTTACAACAAAAGGTTATTTTAGAATTATGAGAAGCCTAAAAGGTGCTATGGAGCCAGTCTTACCATTTTGCTCTTTCTCTCCCATATTTGGATATGAATTATTCTTCCTCTGCTCTCTTTTTTTTTCTTCCTGCTGTGTTTTGACAGTGCCTCTTGTTTTCTTTTCTTTTTTCCACACTGCCCTTCCACTTCTCTTTCCAAGGGCTCCCTCCTGCCCCCCTCCTTCCCTCTCTCTGCAAACAGGCAAACAAACAGTTGCCTTTAGTCCCTGGCTGGTTAGCTGTGGTGCCTCCTCCCTCGGCTCAGAAAACTCCCTGACAAACACACACGCACGCAAACCAATACACATGACCCCCAACATATCTGAATTCTGCAGGGAGAACATGCGAACAAATGACCAGGCATGACATAACACTGCACTCATCATGCCTATTGATCCGCATTGATCAGGCCAGGTCTATCACTACATGACGGTGAAACTCGATTGAGTGACATATGCTGTATGTGCATGATATTTGTATTTGCAGAATAAAAGGCAGAAGGAAAACATCACCTTAGAAACCAACACATTTCACCAAAAAATTTACTTATTATTTATTAATTTGCAAACATGTGGATGTAGCTTCGTTTTGCTAAGTGTGCCAAAATTATTTTAATTTATTCTAGTTTTAATGTATTGTTAATAATAATAATACTTATTATCATTATTATTATTATCTAAATAGTAATATCATTGTTGTTATTTTATTAAATAATATTTTTACAAACCTTATGAATGTGGCTTCATTTTGCTAAGTGTGCCAAAATTATTTAATTAAATTCAATTACAATAATACTATCAATCATTTTTTATGATGATGATTATTATTATTAATTACTAATTATTTAAGCTACTATTGTAGTTATGTTGTTCCTTTATTATTATTATTATTATTATTATTATTTTAAAATGTATTTATATATCAATATTCATAATCCATTTATTATTATTATTATTATTTTTAATTATTATTTATTATTATTATTATTTCCATTTATTATATTTTACCAAGTATGAAACATCAGCTTAGAAACCAACTAATTTACATTTACTTGCACACGTGTGGATGTAGCTTCATTCTGCCAAGTGTGCCAAAATTATTATTTCATTTTATTCAAGTTTTAATTTAATTAAATGGAAATAATAATAATAATAATAATTATAATTATTATTTTCTTTTTAACATTGTTTTTCTCTGCTGACCGCAACCCTTTCAGAACATACCAGTGACCAGCTAGATGAGAACCTTCACAGTCTGAGGAAAAATCCACTTAGCCAAGTTAGCCAAGATTTTGCTGACTTCTACAGACAGATTTAGCCATTTCTTCCCAAATATAGCAGGTTAGAAACACGCACGGCATAAATGTTCAGTAGGAAGACGGCTATTAAGTCTATCTTGGAGTTCTGTTGAACGTCTGTGAGCTATTATTATTATTAAGGTCTGTAAGCTATTATATTCAACACTCTCTCCTGCTCCCTCCATCACCTGCACGTCTCCTTTCAGCTTGATTTCCCTCTCCAGGCCGGCGCTCACGCGGGGAGCTGACTGACAGGATGTGAACAGAATGATGCATGACTGACATTTCATATCCCGTCGAGCGAGTTCTTCCATTTCGTTTTCAAATGAACGTTTTCAAGGAATTTCTCTCAAACCAAATCACCGTGGAATTTCACATACAAATTTGTATGAGGACGAGGCAGAAGTGGATTAGTACAGTTCTGTACTGCTCGCACGCACATTATACACAGTGCCGTTGCATAACTTCCCACACAGAATGCAAAATTATGAGCTATAGTTGGTTGTTCAGCCAGCGGCAGATGGCAACACCCTTTTATGTGATGATCAGTGAAATTATTCTGGCTTTCCCTTTAGCTGCTAAATCGGCATCAAACGGCATCCTAGCTGGGAAAAAAGTACCACAGTAGGAGCAGCCTTGTGTCTTGTTAAATATGTTGGATAACCAGAGCAGTTTTGGACCGCTCCTCAGAAGCGGCAAAAGGCGCTTTTAATTGGGGAATGTCTTGGCCTGGATGGATTGTGACATTAAGCAATCACACAGTGGTATTGTGTTGGCGACAGAAGTGGGTGTGAAGCCATTTTGAAAAAGCTTTAGCTGGCAGAGCCACTTTTGACAGCAATACCCCAAGTAAATTGCCCCTGTATCTCAGCACTTCATTGATTGGGCTCTATCTTAGCCTTTCACAGCTGTAAACCGACGCAACCCACCCCCCTCACCGAGTCGATAGACATGATCCAAAGACAGCAGCCAAACAATCCACTATCTGTCCAGACGGACCCATTCGGGCTAATTTAACATGCACTCAATTTAAGAAAAAGAGCTTTCATTGATTTTTCTATTCATATGCACTTGTTGATCAAGACATTCCATTGTGCTCCATGATCACTCTGACGGTTCCCGATCGGTGGCGTACGGAGTTACGACAAGAGGACGCTGCTCACTCCTCCTTCCCTGGTTCCAGATGTAGTCGGTTTTTTCGACCATGCTCTCTGAGACTCGCACAAAAGCCTTGATGCCTGGTGCCTGCAGTTACAGGCTGCTGCATTCATCCGCACATTCAGAACAGCACTTCACGACACAAAGGCCGCGACTCAGGCGCAGTCTCGAAAGGGACGCCCAGTTCCTGCTGCTTTTGTGCCTTTTCACAACAACCGGGACAGTTGCAACAGCATCCACACAAACTCCTTTCTATATTTTGCTCCGTTTCCCCCAGTGAGTTGCAAAAACCCCATTTATTCAGTAATGAGCAGTCTCATAATGCAATGACTGTCAACACATAATGAACTAACAGAAGAAAGGCCAAGGCTGTTATGACTAAACAGACATATAAAATATTTGCAAACAATCTTTTGTACCAAAACTATTCACACTGATTTTGATGCCGGATTTGTCACTCAATTAAGTTTGTCTACCTTAATGAATTGTATTCGCTTCAAACAACTACAAAAATCAGCCAAAAAAAACCAAAACAGACCATTGCATAGATTTCCGCTATACAAAGCTTACCAACATATGCTTACATTGTATTTTTAAGGTGATGTTGTTACAGTGTAATTACACAAATATACAATGAGTAGTATTAATGAACTACATGTACTTACTATATGGTAAAGGTTAGGGTTAAGGTTTGGTATAGGTTAGTTGTTTGTAATTATGCATAATTTATTGTTAGTACTGTAGTAATAGATATAAATTATATAACTCTCATCTTCAAATAAAGTGTGTGTAGTTGTTTTTACTAATTAAAAAACAGCTGCATTTCATTGAAATGTTTTAAAATAAATAAATTGTTGTAAAATGTTCAAGAGTAAATAGTTTGCATTAAAAAAGTAGTAGTTTGCATAATCGCATAAGTGTTATATATAGTATACATAGACTATATATATATATATAAATATATATATATATATATATGTCTATGTAAATTTTATAAACATATAAATACTTTATCCATGGGTAAAAGTGGTTACACTTTATTTTATGGTGTCCTTGTTTCGGTGTAATTATACATTTAAGTACTGAGTAATATAATGTACTTAATAGGGTTAGTGTTAGGATTAGGGTTTGATTTAGGGTTACTGCATGTAATCATGCATAATTTACTATTTTTACTAACGTAACAAAGACACTGTAAAAAAGGTGTTATTTTAAAACTTTATCAATAGTTAAAAAAGATAAAAATGCAATGGTAAAAATATTTCGTATTGAAATCTGATGACGATTTATTCATGTTTGCTTTAGCTACTTTTTCGAAACAAAGCCTAGAATGCTGCAGTGTCCATATGGACCTCAGAGGAAACTCCCTCTGAATGGGCCTTACAGGAAGCTACAAGCAGCAAAAATCTTACACTACTGGATGATTGACAGCATAACAATACCCTAACCCTGTGGGGGCCCGGAGAGCAAGAGATACAGAGAAACAGACAGAGAGAAAAGAGGAGAACAGAAGGAGACAAGGATCTGAATCTGTTCTAAAAAGGAGAAAAAAAAACAGTAACAGAAAAAGCAAAGAAAGGCCTTGTGCACTCATGAGACACTGGAGCACTGAACAAGAGAAAATGAAAAGTATGTGTCCTTTCAGCAGCTGGCCTGGACCTTCTGCACACACCTTTGCTTAATGCAGCTAAGTGCACTTGAGGAGGATAGAAAACTAAGAGACTGTATGACTCAAAGGAGAGTTAAATGCCGTGAACAAGCTCTCTCCATAACTTTCAAACCAGAAGGTCAAGCTAGGACAATGTGCAAGTCCCAGTTCTCACCATTTTTTTTTTCTGTTAAAATATATACCAAAGACAATAGAGGGAAATGTCAAACTGTTTTTAGTGGAAAGCAACCAGAACAAGCTTCGCCACTGAATAAAAATCATCCGAACCTTGCTGTTGTTGTCTCTGTTTGTTGCCCAAACATACTGTAATGCACACTTTCACAAAACAGACAAATTAATTGTTTACTAAAACAAATTGGGCAAATAAATTTCCATTATTTTGCTATTAATTGGCTAATACTTTTAAAATAATTTTACAGTGATTGCACTATAAAAAAAAAATTAGTGCCAAAATTAGCCCATGAGCAATACTGCCATATACAATTTACTTTGTACTTTCCTCCCTGTTCTTCTTTTAGATTGTGAGGGAAATAAAATCATCGTTGGAAGCTTGACCATCACAGACGTTGTTTCAAGGCACGGTAAAATGGGCTAACAAATCATGCATCTGACAATAATGTTGCTATGACTGAATCACTATGTGGATCCATATGTCAAATCCAGACCATTGCCGTGAAAGCTCTGCCAAAATAAAGATGACACAGATGCGGCCAATCTATCAAATCCTTTTCATCATACACAGAAAATGCTGAGCACTGGCCACTTTGGCAAAAGCAAAGTGAATCAATTTCAAAGTCAAATAAATTTCTCCAATGATTACTGCCACAATAAAAAAAAATGGGACCTATCATTAATATTGTGCTAATGCTTGACTATAATTCATCTGCTCGGAGCTTAGAATAATTGTTCTGACACTTGCATAACTTATTTTGTCTGCGTTTATTAGGTTGGTAAAAGGTGCAGTATTACTCTTAAGTACCTGCAAAATGTGCTCAGATATTCTAATCAGATTTCTGACTGAAAACAAAACACAATAACGTCAGTCCTCTTAAAATGTTAGCTAATTCACAAACATGCATATGTGTAGCTACTTTACAAAGTGTTTGCTCCGTTTGCAAACATGTAGGTTATTAATAAACTAAAGGTTAGTATATCCAAGTGTCAGATTTAACAGTCTGTGGGATATAAATGACCCGCGCGCATCTATCATTACGAGCGAGCGTTTATTTGTGTCTGACGCACCAGGAGCGCGCGCGTGGTACATGTCCATAAGCATAAAATATCAATAAAACAACAATAAATAAGCCTCGTTACATGCCAGAGGTGACAGAGATGTCCGTGCTGAGTCCTCCTGCAGCATTTCCAAACCTTCATAAAAACCCTCGGCTCCATACCTTTACTGCGTTTCCTCCTGTTCTTCAGTGAATCTCATTCATTCTTCCGTCCTTCTGCCGTTTATCTGTCGGTTTCTCCTTCTTCGTGCGGATGCATGCAGATTAGAAACGAATAGCCCGAATGGAGCAGTCCATAGAATTAACGGAGGGAGAAAATTCGTGATAAAGACGTACAAAACGACGAAAAACAATCCGACATGTTAAGTTAATACTCAAATGACCGCACTCGCTTCAAAATCATAACAAAACATCAACTCGCATTGTCGTGCAATGTTTGACACGCGACTCACTGATAATAAGTCCACACGAGACGCGAATGAGCGAATAAAATATCGTCCGCAGTCCCGTTTTCAGCACTGAACATAACGCGAAACGTCTCCCCAAATCCAAGGAAAACACAGACGCGCAGAAATGTCAGGAGAGGACGCTGGAAAGCCAGTAGGTGTTCGTGTCGGATTCCTTGTCGTATTTAACACCCACATTAGAGCAAAAATGAAAGGTTGTGGTGTCGACCCATGTGTCCTCCCGCCTCGAAACCAGCAGTCGCTCCGACTCCCTCCGTCTGAAGAAGCGTAACGTCGTTGTATCTCTCTCACACCGCACACCGACTGACTTCTTATCTGAGCCCAATCTAAATTAGTAAACCATATCCAGGTTTATTAATTTGCACCGTGCGTGACCGTGCGTAAAATGACAATGTATTATTCTCAATGACTGATTCAACCTCGGATGTGGTAAATAATTAAGGACTTGCTTGTATGCAGCTTCTTGTATGCAGGGGGAAGTCGTGGCCTAATGGTTAGAGAGTCGGACTCGTAACCCAAAGGTTGCGGGTTCGAGTCTCGTACCGGCAGGGATTGTTTGATTTTCTTAGATAATCTAAGATGATTTAATGTCCTCTCTGCTTCCTATTACACTTGCCGTCCCAATTTCCTAGGCACACACTCATATGTATTCTTAGTTTATGTATTCAACTAATGTTGCACAAACAAGACTGATGTTGTTTAGATTATCAACATAGTATAATAATTACACTACAGGTAATCACAGACGTGCTGATATATATATATATATTTGTATCTCTCTCACACCGCACACCGACTGACTTCTTATCTGAGCCCAATCTAAATTAGTAAACCATATCCAGGTTTATTAATTTGCACCGTGCGTGACCGTGCGTAAAATGACAATGTATTATTCTCAATGACTGATTCAACCTCGGATGTGGTAAATAATTAAGGACTTGCTTGTATGCAGCTTCTTTTTAAAGGCTGCTATATTTAAATCAATACTGTAGTAGCTGTTATGAATATGAAGGTCTTCTGACTGTTCCGAGAAATGCCTTGAAGTCTGCTGTCCAGCATGGTGTGGTGGGGTTGGGGTGATATTGTGTGATTATTCAGATGGCTTTCAGTGTGGGACGCCTCTCAGTTGGGCTTTCACCGTTTAGGAGTGTATTGAAGGGGGCGTGGTCTATGCGGGGGCGGGGTTATGACACATTGATCGTATATTAGAGGAGCGGTGCTTGTGTCGGGGGAGTGGTTTACTACAGGTGATAATTTTAATCCTCGAGTCTAGACTAGACAGACAGACTAACATCTACCAAATAGTAATAATAATAATAATAATAATTGATGGTCTTTTTTTCCTCACAAAACATATTTGTGACTTTTAGCTGACGCTTAAAAATCACTCATGTTAAACTGCTATGACCAATGCATGTGGGCCGATATTTATTAAGAACACAGACTTTAAATAATAATAACAATGCAATAATTAGGTCTACTACACATTAGTATTGATGCATTGTAATTAATTATACATGTAGAATGGAGTCAGTAAAGTGCTACATTATCTTTTTGAAATCAATTTTAATCAAGAGTCACTAGTCTAATCATTACTAAGTGATGTACAGTAATGTGGTCAATAAAGACTTATGATTAAATCTATTTTTAAAAAGTAATTCCTACACACATATGAGTTATATATATAT